ATTGCAAACATAAGAAATGAAAGTCTAAAAATGAAAAGCTTTAGTGAGAAGATTATGTTTGAAATATTGGGCTAAAACCATCTCACAATCTAATGTAATTTTGCCTTGCTTGAAACGTTTGTGCATATACACGATAACACATTTAAATGAATTTAAAATATATTGCAAGAAAAATCGTTGTTTTATTTTATTCTTCGAATTTGTGTTTTATTTTATTCTTCGACTTTGTGTTTTATTTTATTCTTCGTCTTTTATTTTATTCTTTGTCTTTTGTTTTATTCTTCGTCTTATATTTCTTATACTCTTCGTCTTTTATTTTTCATCTTATATTTCTTTTATTCTTCGTCTTATATTTCTTTTATTCTTCGTCTTATATTTCTTATACTCTTCGTCTTTCATTCTTTGTCTTTTCTTTTATTCTTCATCTTATATTTCTTATACTCTTCGTCTTATATGTCTTTTATTCTTCGTCTTTTATTTTATTTTATTCTTATTTTTATTAGAATATAAGTTAGTTCTTTGACTTGACACGTATCTTATCTTAAGAGACCAAAATCATTCATTATATCAGTCAAATCATTCTTAAAGCTAAATCTAAAGCTGTAATAGTTTAGCAGAGAAATTTCATATAGTTATTCGATTCTGAATTGAATTACTCAGCTTACTCATTATCAACTCCAAATTAGTCCTTATTATCAGCTTCAAAGCAGTTTTTGTGTCGTCCAAAAACTTCTGGAAGCTTCAAGAAAAATTGCTACAAACTCTACAAAAATACGATTTTAAAAAATTGCAAAAAATTGCCAAATGTCGCAAAAACAAATGCACAGATATATCAGAAGATTTTCTATCTATATTTCCTGTTCTAATTAGCTATTTTTGCTATTCAAAAACCGATCGATTCCGAATCATGAGCTCTACAATTCCCGAAGTAAGCACAAAAAATGACTACGAATTCAATTATAAAAAATACACAAAAAATTATTGCATAAATTTCACTAAATAAATAAATTCATGAGCAAGCATGATACACAACACTATAAAAATTTTATAAAGCCTGAAATATATTCAAATACACAGGTATTTCCCTAAATTTATAGCAATAAGTTGGCTTCCAAGTTTAATGATTTTAGATATAAAACTGCATATACAAAATTTAAATAACTACCCCATCCATTGGTTGCTTAAAATGTCATATAAATAACTTCATCCTTTAATAAAACGCCTAACTAACATAACAGGATTGGATTCCTTAGATTAAAGCAGAGTATTCGAGGGCTATCCTGCAAGAGAAAGTGAAGTTTTTGTAATAAACTTTCACTTTCTGAAACTCTGAAAATTCGCTCGTATTTACATTACACATGGGCACAGCCAGGAAAGCTTCATACAGCCAGTCGGTACACTGAGATTTGGACCTGAAGCGAGATACCAGTATTCAGCGATTTTTATCGCTTTTCTATTGCCTATCCACTAGCTACAATAAAGCAGAAATTCCTCAAATACTGTGTGAGGGTTCCGTTATGTTACTTAATCAGTTACTTTATGTTTATTAAGGTCTTTTGGATATGTACTGTCACCTCTCCTTTTCCGTTTTCCCACCAGAATGCAAATTAGTTCGCGATTTTTTATAGTGAGGTTTTAGACTGTGAGACACAGCGTGTTTTGCTTTTCATGGCCGTATTTCTAGGCTGCTACCTTAGATAAGAGTTCCAGTCTTCAACCTTGCATTATAACTGCTTAGTTGAATTCCACGCCGGTTTAGTTTTGAGCCAACTTTGCGTTAAAGTGATTGTGTGGGCTTTGGCTACTAGTTTATTTGAATTTAAATTTTATATTTGATATAGTTAATTTATTTCACCAAAAGTGGTTGGCTGAGTCGTAAGCACATAGTGTGTATTCTTTTCTTATTTAGTTTTAGTAAACTGTCTTTTACAACCTTCCGAAGTTTGAGTTGCGACTATTTCAGATATAGCGATAAGTCGCTTAAAGTCTACCAAGAGTTAAGACAGAGTTAAGACAGTTGGACTAAACCTGTAAAACTCTGAAACTCTCTTTGAATAACCAGTCTTGAAATAACCATCTTAACTGCTTACAGCTTTTAAATTTAAAAGATAATCTCTCTTTGAGCAAACGGTATGAAAACTATCATTATAGCCGTCTGTTAATTTAGGTTTGCAGAAAAATATAAAAATCATAAAGCTGCTAAAGTGTCAAAATAATTAAAAAAACATAACAGTTTTTATGAAAAAACTAATACACAAGTATACCAAGTAACGTACCAGGTGATATACACAAGTAAGCAAATGAACTCTAATTTTACTTGACTGATTTTAATTTACATGCACATGCATGTATATTACGATCATGTTTTTAAATTTTTCATTATTCATTTTCGCAGTCTGTAGACTAAAATCTGTGAAAATGACTTTTGAAATTTATTGCATATTTATGTATAAAAAATTTCCTTGTGCTACACAAATATTTGATTTTGCTATTGAGGAAAGGAAGTGTCATCGAAGTCTCTTAATAATGAAGTCGTTTAGTAACACGCACTTAATTCTAACTTTATACATGAAGTAGTGTCTTAGTTAAGCTGTCTTTCATTATCACAACCAACATATATTAAAATCAAGGTCAGAAAAATATTTCTTTAAAAGCATAAAAATATGTAACAAAATACCCATTTCATAGCCTTGGAAAATATAAATGGCATGAATAAGTTTTATGGTCAATATACTGGCCAAAGGTGTTCATGCTTTGTACCTAAATATGGAATAACTCGTGGAAAACAGCTTCCTGTGTTTTGTTTATAAACTAATTGCAGAAGACGCCTGGCGTTGGCAAATTGCATTCAACTTCAGACCTAACATCCCTGTGTCTAAATCATGTCCAACGCAAGCTTTCTCGGACTTTATGGTGACCATTCATGTCAGTTTCGTGCCGGACAAAAGGGCGCTCTTCATATTTCATACGCAGATGATTTACAAAGGAGCGGACATCCTGCTAGTTGTCATTGGAGCTGAATTAGGGGTTCAAATTCGCCTGGAACAATATATTTTTAGTCAATATTCTGAAGGTTTTATCACAATTTGTCCAGAAAAAAGTAAAAGTAAAATCCGTAGACAGTAGATATCCTAAATGGAAAGCTGTAAGATCATAAGGGGAGAAAATAAAAGAATGTAATTTCATTGCATAGAGTAAAAGTGTGTACTAGGTTCCATTCGATGCATGCCTTTTATTTTGTATATATGATATTTCACCTTTTTTCTTTTCAAGACTATATAATTGAGTTGTTTACACAGAGACTCTTCGCCCATTTTTTGAACATTTTACTTTGCTGTAAAAAACATCGCCTGCTTGGAAATTTTTTTTTTAACTGAAACAGTATTTTCCTAAGTATATATTATCTTCCGCTATCTAAAAATTTTGCTTTCATGCAAAATGTCGCTTTTAAAGAAGGAATGGACAGGAAGCTGTGTTTGTGCTCTTTTCGAAGAAAACTATTCGTATTTAATTATTAAAAAATGCTGTGAAAGCCATGAGTTTTCGGTATTTAAAGCAAGGATAGATAATAATGTCAATGAGAAAGTTAAAAAAAAGTCAGAGTTTCGCTTCAAGCAGAAAAATTGTTCAACATACATATCGAAGGAAAATACGGAATATTTCGAATGTTGTAAAGTTAAATGTTAGAGTTAAGTTGTAAAGTTAAACTTTAATGTTAAAAAAAAAAACTTCCAAGCCAAAAAGGACAGTTGAAGGATCATTAAAATGCTCACTGTCAACTGTAAACAAAGTGATTAATGCTCATTAGAATTGTAGAGTTCGGTAGATTCACGTTTGTGTGAACACTGGAAGAATAGTAATGACTGCACAAGAGAAGGGTTAAAAGTACCCTTTATTAACTCTTTAAAATTTACAAAACGCCAACTCGACTCTAACAAACTACGACTCTTGCTTGGGCAGTAAATGAAATCAGATAACGAAACTAAAAGTTTGAAGATATGAACAAGTGATAGAAATAAACTACAGGGCTCAGCTAGATTCCGTTTCTTAAAACCCCGTCGAAACTAGTGGCAGCAAGTAAATGCAATTAAGTCACGTGGACCAGCAATAAGCAATCGTTTAAGCAGCAGAGGTGGAGGCTATAGACTAACTCTCCTCTTTCCTACCGAAACTCGGTTTTTAAACTCTTTCTGCAAAGTAGAATTTGCATTCCTTCGCGCGCGCTACCTGACAATTAGGGAAATGAAGGGTTATAGGAAAGAATAGCACTTAAATAAAATTGGTTATTTGAAATAAATAGAAATCCCTACAGAATATTAAAAAGGCGAAAAAACGTAGTACGCGTCCACTTTCTCGACGACATATCGCCGAAAGCAGAACGGACTGTAGAATTCTTTATGAGAAACACTTATTCGAATAAAAATGGAAAAATATTGTTGTTGAAAAGAGCTGTTGCCATTCCGTGACCATTAAATGTTTAATTTTCCAGTTATAGTAGCTCAGTATAACAATCTAATCTATTTAAAATCTTTACATAGCTGATAAGAATTTCATTTTTGTTTTGCAAAATTATAGTAGTAAATTTTTTAACCGTCAGGAAGAAACAGCTGCTTTAGAACAACATATTTTTTAATAATTTATATAAATACTACTGCAAGGAATTGTGGCATTTCTCTCGTTCTCTCTTTATATTTTTGCATTTGTATTGGTTCATTATTTATAAAAGTGCAAAAAACAGAACATGATGGATATTTTTATGATGATAAGATTTATTTTTCCTAATTCCTCTCACTTATCTCAACAATTCTCTCTGGTATTCTAATATACCGTTGACAATTGATATCAAGAAATATTCGAACAAAGCTTTTTTGCAATAATCCGTCGCAAAACCCTCACGTATCCTTTTCTATCAAGGGAACACATCTTTCTTGATTACGATCCCAAGATGCAAAGAGATGTATACTTACCATTTTTTTTATTCTTTACATATTTATTTATAGATCGGCAGGGGCAAAAGAAGCGTTGCTGTTGGATCGGAGAATTCCTTGGAGTGGGATCCATCGAAACAAAACTCTTTTGGTGGAGTTGAGCTTGATCAGTTAGCTCCCTTGGAAAAAGCGTCATTGAGTTACGACGCCAGCCACAGCGGTAACAATCAGGCTTTCGAGATTGTTGGCGAAGAAGAAGCATATGCCTCAGATGATGAAGGAGAAGGAGATTATGAAGATATGACGGATTAAAATTAAGATTGCAAACGATATTAGTAAACAATATTGTATACTCATTTTGTTAGACCTTTTGAAATAAATAAAGATTCTATATATAGTTTTCAAAAATATAAAAATTTGTAATGCACTATCTCTACCATTTTTTCCTTCTTTTATTTGTGGATTAACAAGCACTAATGTACTTTACAAAATTTAAAGACACATTTATAGCTGAATATGACTAATGAAACACGCAATGTATAGGAATTATCGTAAATAAATCACATAAATTATGTTTTATAAAACAATAAATTCTGTACATACATTTTATCGCCTAACCTATTGGGAAATTAATATTTAAAATTTAATATAATTAAAGCGAATGATGCACTCACAGAATAGGTAAAAAAGTTTAAATCGCATAAAATTTGATTCATCAAATAAAATAATCAGTGTTAACCTCGAAACTGTATTTCATTGATTATGCAACATAAGTTTGAAAAGCATATTGTTAATCAATAATCCTCATGATCTTTTCGCTAAATCATGATCTATATTTTGTTTGTTTGTTTAATCAATTGTGTAAATCTTTTTACTTAAGCGGAAATATTTCTTTATAGAAGTTTTTATAAAGGAAATTGATTAATTTCCATGTATTCATGGAGAAAGGTTCATATAGTCCAGTCAAAGTTCCAGTCTCTGGAATGCGAACCTGTATCGAGCTACTTTAGCAGTCTTACCAACACGGTCTTTCCTGAGCCTGACTTATATTTTGATTTATGATATTTTTTATTATTAAACTGAAGGGTCATTAGCTTTTTGAAGCAGGAGACGTGAAAAATATGCAGTGCCCTCGCCGAGACTCGAACCCTGGACCTCTCGAATAGGCGTCGAGTATGCTTCCAATTACAACACGAAGGCATAAGGAAAGGAAGAAGAAAATACGATACGATACTTAACATATTAAGGCAACCATATTGGCGCAGTTTGGCGATTATTTGCAAACGAAAAGGTAGAAGTTGCTTATCGGATGGAAGTTGGTGGTTTTCGAGCCCTTTTTTAGGAAGATTAAAAAAATGTCGCTATTTATAGTATGTAGGTAAGCATTTCAAAATATCAAAAAAAGCAAACTTTAGGAATTCAAAATACAAATTTTAACTATTGAATAAGAATTACATGATACCTTAAAAACAGTAAAACAGTTACATTCTTATGCATAACTTCCTGTATTTTTTTTCGCGGTAATGGTCTTTCGAAGTACACAGTGATCTGTTTTCGCTTATAAAAAATCAGAGAATTGCGGGGGCTTCGCGCAAACCTCGGCAACAGCTCCCATCTGCTAAGCGTATTTCCTCGCTGTTCCCATTAGAAAATTTTCAGCAAAATTCTTCATTTATGCAAACATTTTCCTGCAGTTTCTTTCATTGTTGGTAAATTTCAGAAGCTCATGTTTTAAAACTAAGTTTAAGGCAAAAAATATCACGATTTGCTTTTAAAAAAATGTTGGGACTTGGATTACAACAGATACATACGAAAATGGCGGCGGTGCTTGACAAAAGGATTGTTATGAGCATGGTTGCCAGAGTTTGGCTCATTCTGAAAACTTGGCGATTCCTACTAAAGTAATTGCGCTAATACGTAATAACCGAAAATACCTTATAAACTTCCCTTTTTAAAGGACTATTTGGCATTGGAAAACTCAATCGCCAAATCCTGTTGGTGACAAATTATCATCCATCACCTTTTAGTTCGGGTGCCATTTGTACAGTCATTTGATTTTTTGAAGCTGGAGATGTGATACTACGCAAACCCGTCGCCGGGACTCGAATCTTGAACCTCTAGAGTGCGCTTCGAGTATGCTTCCAGTTGCACCACGAGGACATGCGAAAAGGAAGGAGAAAATACCTTATAAACAGTAACTTGTATAAACAATAACTTGTGTAGATGAGAAAAACAAAAGCAATTTTTCATTTCCGATTTGCTTTGTAAACTCGTATGGTACTCATAACTATAATTGAACTAATCTTTCCTTTTCTCAATAAACCAAACAAGAGTACATTAAACATAATATAAAAGTTTACAGTGAAATATTTACAGTGAAGTAAGTTAGAGATAAAATACGATTTTTCGTTCCTTTTCTCAAAGTATTGTAATAAAGTATAAATTTTTAGCAAGCTGTCTCTCTTTCTTAAAAAGGAAGTGAAAGGCAGTAAAAGTTTATATAAATTTCCACATCATCAATGGACAAATTTGCAGCTCGAATATAATTTAGATGAAATAACTTCGCAAAAGTAATGCATGACAGGCGATATCAGACATGCATAACACGAAGAATTAATTGGCTTTTAAGAAAGTTGCGCCAATGAAAGTTACTGCGATAAATATTCATCCATAAAAATTAATAAAATCAAAAGTGATAAAGATTCGTCTTCGCTTAGAGAAAAAAAAATAATTTACCAAACTTTAAATCTTAAAATGTCATTTAATAAATAATAATGTCACCAGAAAGAGATCTTACTTATTAAAATGAATGAATTATGGACAGATCCTATTTGCTTACAGATTTCCTGTTCTTAAGAGCAGAGGAATCAATATTTTTGGTCTCACGTGAAAATATCTGGCAGGTAATCGATAACTCATGAAGTAATATGAAAACTATTCATTGTTCAAAATGGATTTTCGTTGTCTTTGATGTGAAGAATTATTAAAGAAAATATTAAAATTTTGATTTGGCACGTTGTGATATGATACATAGTAATTCACATTCACATGCTTTTACTGTAAAGCATACTTGTTTTAGTTTAAAGATTCGCCAGTCTCGTGGTACGTTTTACATGTTAGTTATGATCGAAGTGGTTATAGATGTGACGAACAACGCAAACGGCATAATATATGTCCTAAATTCTTAAAAGGGGCATAAAAATCATGTGATAAGCATAATATATCTTTATTACTTGACGATTACGCTATTCAAACATCATACTGAGAAGCACAGCATAATAAGCGCGATTTGATCCCCAAACGTTTTTAATACGCACGTAGACGTTCTAAACAATAGATAAAGAAGGCGAAACGAGGAGCATGCTTTATTCAAACAGCAGCAATCGAGGAAAACTAATGCGTACTAAAATGCAATTGTATTTATACGCCAGAAAATCTTCTATCCTGAGCAGCGATTGGGCTAATGATTTCGCATTGCAGAGAATTGCAGGGAAAGAATGACGTAACATGCTGCAAAGAGAAGGTGCAAAGTGTACTGTTGAAATGGCGATGCATTTAATTAATTTATGAATTTGAAGGTCTATTACCAGTTGGTTCCCATTAAGTTGAATAATTTTGTTTCATATTTTACATATATATTTTGTTAAAGTAAAAGTAAAATGCTAAGTAACAATTATTAGAAGTTTAAACAATATAGTAATCAGCGTTAATTTTTTTAATTTGCATAGTTTTAAAGATTTTACTGCAGAAATATGTAATTTAGTGTGGAAAAACAATAAGAATGTCCCCTGTTGTCTACTTTTGCTGGGAAACACCCCATTGGACAGATATCTAGATTCGATAGGAAGAAAAAAGAGACAGTTACTGTGGACTGCCCAAATGTTGTGAAATGATAAAACAAACATAAGGGGGCATAGGTTTGCTCGATAGCCCACATAGGAAGATACAAAATACCTTCGAGATCAAGAAAGTGGTATATGAGACCTTTTTTACCACTTCTTAGATCTTGAAATCGTAAAAGTGTGGCTGCTGTACAAAAGAGTGTCTCTATAGAACGGAGCCAAACCCAACTGTTTGCTAAACCCGGCCGCCTTTCTGTTGAGATATGAATTGGACTGTTTTAAAATGGGTGAAAATGCAGTTCCTAAGCGTGGAAGACCGAGCGGTCATTTACAAACTGATCACAATATGAAAAGAAAGAGAGACCCTGCGTCAAACATTCCTCCAGCCTGCATCAGACAGGATAAAATTTAACATGTTCCCATATGGAACGAAAATCGCACTCGTAAAATAACAAATCGCAAATTCCAAACATTTATTGGATGCGAAAAATGCGCTGTAGCATTATGTCTAAATAAGGATAGAAATTGTTTCGAAATTTTCCATGCACAATTTTCCATTGCACAATAAATGTACATGTACCAAATATTTGATAAACCATTTTCATTTAAATTTTCATCACAATTTTAATTTTTACAAAGTCTGAACATGATTAATTAGAATTAAGTTTCAATAAAATTTTAATTAAAGTCAATATCTTCTAAAAACAATAAATAATCATGTATTTTATGCCAATATTTATTAATTGTAATATTTCAAATGATTTTTTCACGTGGTTTACATTTTAGTGTTAAATACATGACGATGCATATATGCATCAAACCTAATAATTAAAAAAATAACCAATAAAAAGTGTTAAATATTTTTTTTTTGAATATTTTTCGATATTTATTTAAGAAAATGTTTCCTAAGAAGAAGAAAAAAATTTTTGTAAAAATATAAAAAATCATACATTGAAGGGTTAACATTTGTTTCTACTCTCTTTGCTTTTAATCTGCCGTTTTATGAAAAAAAAAATAAATTTTAAATCACTTTGAAAAAGTTTGTTTAGATTCTTTGAAGCCATGTTTTAAGATTTTTTCTTCCTGTTTTATAATAATAATGGATCTCGTTTTATTTCAGTCATTTAAATACATTCAAGATTCATCTATCATGACAACATTTTTCCATTTTTTTCCGGGTAAATATTTCTCATAAAGACTTGTGCAGCGCGTTCTGCTTTCGGCGATATGGCGTGCAGAAAGACGATGCACATTATTTATTTTTTTTTTTTTAAGATTCAAATCAGCGTTAATCACTTTGTTTACAGTTGACAGTAATACAGTGTTTTAATGATTTTTCTACTGTACTTTAACTTGTCAGAGTTTCGTTTAACATTAAAGATCTTTCCTTTGCAAAATTTGAAACATCCCGTTTATTCTTTCGATATGTATTCGGAACATTATTTCTACTTTAAGCCAAACTTTGACGTTTTCCTCCCTTCCTTGTTGACAATATTATCTATCGTAGACTTAGATATAGAAAAGCCACAGCTTTCACGGTATTTTGTAATAATAAGATACGAATAATTTTCTTC